TTGCATGTAAATGTTAGGAACACGTCTGGGTAGCCGAAAACCTTCACTATTGTCATTGCATCAATATAGTTCTCCCGTTTCCATCTGTCGCCTCCAGTGAAAGAGGATGGCAGTAAAATCCTCTGACCAATGTTTGATGCATCATTGTTGCCTGTTTCTAGAGATCTTCTGATGTTTTCATATGTTTCACATCGTAGTTTTTTCTGATTTCTCTTCACAAAAAAGATACGACCAGCTTCAACTGCACTGTAACCATCAACTAAAAACTGTTGGAAACACCTCCGTGCAAACAATAGCATGCTACCATCTGAATTCCTTTCCATAATACGAAAAGCAAACCACTCTCTCATACTCATCCATTTACGGGGACCCTTGTACTCTTCTTCTTCATTTTGATTTTCCTCCTCCTCCTCATCATCATCACTTTGATCATCATTATCATCAGAATCAGTGTCTGGATCTCCTAGTTTTATATTGATTCTGAATCCGTCTTCACCATACGGAAAAATGATCGGGTACTGAAGTGCAAGGTGTGAAGGGTGCAACTCGTTTATTCTCAGCAATTTTCCAGACTTATATTGAACAATAATGTCTCTTGTCTCAAATTCATTGTCCTCATCTCCTGGAATTATAGCTGCTACCTCATCAACTGTTGGAATGTTATATCTTCTTGCATCCGTTTTCCTAGCACTAATAAGCTTAAGCTTTATTTCTGTTGAAGAGTCCACCTGAACTGTGTCATGTACCTTTCTGTAAGTCTGTGCTAGGACATTGTGTTCATCTAATGTTTCCTTTATGTCACTAACAATTTTGAGCATCTAGTGTCCTCAAACTGTCTCCACTCTGACCAGAACTGCAGTTCATAACATAAATATATATAAATAAGGCGTTATAACTATATATATATATGAAACATTTGGAATTATATTTAAATGGAAAATCATTTCTTCAGATATAGTAAGAGTTGTACCTCAGAGCACCTATTCTATTATTGACTTCATTTTGAGTGTCATAAATATACAACTGAGAGAACTTAGGAATTGAATCATCTTGTGGGAGAAGACTACCCATTAAATGACTGTTGTGTCCCTGCATTTTGAAAACAAATGGAGCATGTCCATTGTTTATGGTGCTAACAATTTTTCCTCCCATGGACGTGAATGCAAACATATTATTGTAGACTCTAATGTTCTCTAAAAAGTGTCTGCTTTTGCTGTCATTAGACATAAACAACTCCTTTAATTTTGAAGGTGGTTCCTTGAGTAAGGGTAGATGGATTTTGCCTTTCCTGCAACATATTGAAAATGTGGGGATTGCTGGTCTCCTATATTTTTCAGTCCTCTCAGCATACCACATGTCAGCCACACAGAATCTACATACATAATCTGGATCACCAAGATCATCATAAGCTGCATGAACATTTTTTTGTTTAAAAAACTATTTTACTGTGTTTAAAAATATACAAAAACTGTTATGTAAGTATAAAATACCTGCGTTGATTATATTAACCTCATTTTGTTTGACTTTGTACTTGCCAGGATGCAATACAGTTTTCTTCAAATTCATTCCAGATTGTTGGCACTTGCGCTTTCCTTTTAGATTGGTGTCTGATGTTGTTGTGTAAGGAGACAACAGTACATGAATGTTACAAATTCAGAGGTATGTCCTACGTTCCTATATCTCATAATCTATGAATTCTTGAAAATTGAATTTTTATTATCAGTTTTTAATCTGTGGAGAAATTTGCTTTGTTGCTGATACTTATGTTTATATATTTTCACCATAACAGTAATAATAACTTATATAAAATGGATAATGACTTATAATAATAAAGCACCTACCGTTAGAACTGTGCCTTTGCAGTGCTGAATTATTATGAGTTTTTGAAATTGAATTATCTATATTAGATATGTTGAAATCACCCATTCAAATGCATGGCTTTGTTTGAACAATCTTCCCTTTTTTTTTATCCAACAATTCCTTCCTTTTCATCTGGGATTCTCAGAGGTAGAACTCCCAAATGAAGGTGAATCTGTACACATAAATAAAATATAAACATATGCGATCCACTTCACAAAAACTTACTAACAGTAAACCCAAATTACATACCTTTTGAAAGTACAGAAGAAGTTGAAACTAATTGTTGGTTCACATTTGGCATGAAAAACGGATAATGATTGTGGTGTGTAAGCATGCGGGAATGTCGACCGTTAACAACTTTGCCTTTTTTATTGTTCAAAAGTTGACGTCTGAACCACATACACTCCTTTGTAGTAAGATTCAAGCTATTGCGTAAAATCTGTTTGAAGCAACCATCTATAATAAATATGTAAATCACCTTTCTCCTTTGATTGTTTATGATTTGGGTTCGATTCTTTCTGGCTACTTTGGCTTGAATCTTCTTTCTTTTTGACTGTAAAATTTGTGATCGGTTTTTTCTGGCAGCCTTTGCTGACATGTTCGCCATTGTTGAATTGTTAAACTTCTGTGAATGTGTCAATGTACATTTAGATGTTGTTGAACTTGTAACATATGGTATTTATCTCATGTTTTTAAGTATTGATCGTGTTTCTGCTTTTACATCTGCAAGGAATCTTATTTAAATGATTAGATGATTTTGATTGTAATATTTTAGTTGTTATCTGATTTTATCATAATCTTCATTTTAAGGAAACTATTTCTATTAAATATTTTTAAGACTGTAAAAGTATTTATTTTACATAGAGTCTTATCTTATCTTTATTAACATAAAAATTATAAATCAGTTAAAGTCATAATAAAACATTCCTCCAGAAAATATCGTTACTGACCAAGAGAATAAAATAATTTCATGAAGAAATCACATATCATAAGCAAAAGTTATTTAGTTCCCACCAGACATTTAAAACAACTTTCAATATTTTGAAACAGTTCAAACAATCATGATGAAGATAGATCTAGGAAATCACTGAATTAGAAAAAGTTACATCATTCTTTCTGGGGTGTACACTTTCAACATCCAGCATAAATTTAAGAACATTTCCTTTTGGAAACTGATTATCAAGCATCAGTGTGTTCCAATTCCTGATAATCTTCAACTGGGACACCTTTTTACCATAATGCAGTGGATTGTATGATTTATGGAACTCCATATTATACATCTTTGCATTAGTGTATATGACAGCCAAGTTTTTGGTAAGGATACTCCTATGTCGTCTCCAGAATTCAGATGGAACAGTCTGTAAAAAAAAAATTGGGAAAAAAATAAGTAAAGTAAATATGATTAAGGTGACAGAAAGTAAAAGGTATAATATATTATTACAATTGCTTTATGCTGGCAGTGGTTATCTCCTATGGAGATCTCGAAGCAGTCATCTTCTGTGTCAGTAATAGTAGGCTTTTGTTCAAATCCTTCTTTAGTGAAAAAAAATGCATAATTAATCGCATTTTTCCAGTATATGTGAAAACAGCAAATTCAGAATGTTGTACCATGTTGGTATGGTCTTTTAAAAGCTTATCCCATTGATGATCACTTACAACCAATCTTGCAGCATTCCCATGAGGAGAATATGTTATTTGATTGATATATGTATGCTCTCCACAGACAACCGACCAGTTTGAAAAATATCCAAAGTTATCTGCATGATCTTCTGTGATACAACTACTTAATCCAACCGGTAGAACCTGTGTGACCAAATTGAACACAACGTAAACAACATTTTTACCTTTCCATAACTGTCAAAATTAAAAAAAATTACAAACAACATACCATTTGAACTTTGATGTTGTTGATGTGATTATGACATATTTGGTGTTGGACTGTTGCTGAGAACATTATTTTTATCAAACACAAAACATTTATAATACCTAATTCTCTCACAATAAAGTAGAGTCCCTGATTGAGAACTAATTTGTGAGCCTTCACAAATTCATACTAATTGTTTCCACCAATCCTCATGTGTGTCCAATCTTTATTAACGAAGCCACTGATTTTGTACTCGTTATTGTTACTGATCAATAAAATCTCTTTTGATTTATCTGCATCTTGAATGAGCAAAGTTGAAGGCAAAGGAATTTCCTACATCATTTTTTAATTTATGATAACAACCACAAAAGTTTATTACAGATGTAGTATCAGAAATACAAACTGATGAAAAATAAACTATTATCAGAACTTAAACATTACCTGGAAGTAGGCAAACCCTAGTTCCACCCTCACAAAACACTTGTTTGACATTGTTCCTTATTGGCTGTCGGCTTTTGTTCAGAAACGTAATGTAAGTTGCAGAAGGAATTTGTAGAGGGGTGGCTTATTGTATTTTTAACAGTGATATTAAAGCCAGTAATATATGTGATTGCGAATATAAATATGGTTAACCCTGATTTACAGGAATAACAATCAATTATAACGTATTTAGTGCTTATTCCATTGATAAGATTATATTTTGTATTCACACTAATACGATTAACACGTTTTTTTTTCATTTTAAAAGTTTTTCCATGGAATTTACAACATTTCTTACTCTGATGGTGAATTATATTAAAGTAAACCTTATCAGTGATTATATATTTGTAGGTTTAATTATTTTTGCTACCCAGTCGATATATTTGACTGAGTTTTCAAAACTTTGAAATGCGGATAATGAAAATTTGATTTTATATTGCGGATAAAGTGTTTATTTCTTTCATGAAAGTTACCAAATACTCTTTGTTTTCAAATTTTAAGCCTTATGGAATGAACTTAACATTCAACATGCGGTAAAACTAAATTAAAAAACACACATGTAAACTATCTAAGAATCTGAAGTGCTTAACAATAAAGACCAATCCTTGTATTGCATAAGGCAAAAAATGATCGAGATTAAAAAGCACTAAACATGGTGCTTATAAATTGAAAATGTTAAAATCCATCAAAGGAGACTTCTGGCTGGAGATAACAACATCATACATATGATGTAGTGCAGTTTTGATTTGGAAATTTAAATTCAAATGAAAATAAGATCAAGAAGAAGGAATTTTCTTCAGATTTTCCTGACACATTTATTCTGGTGGGATTTGACACTCTCAGGGTCTTGAGTAGATTTAGTCTTCTTTGGTGGGGGACTATCAGCAGTATCTACCAGAGGAGTTCCAACATCAGTATTCTGGATATTAACATCACCAGTACATGATACAGCAGTCTGCAAAAAAATACAGGTAAGAAAATGTATGTTTCAGTTATCTGGAGTATATTTTATAATTAGTAGTCCATAACGTATGCAAATTGTTTACGGATCACCTTTGCAGTACTATCATCTGTTTGGGTCATACTGAGCCCAAATTCAATACTGGTTTTTGCATCTATTTCCTGCATTATTACAGCATAAATGGAGTACATGTGATATGTGAGACATTATACAATTTGCTTATTTGTTATTTTGCTGGTAAATAAAATTAATTTCTACAAAAGTGAATATTTAATGATAATTACCAGATCTTCAGATACAGCTTGTAGGTATTGTTTTATAATTGCAGCAACTGTAGTAATCCTAGCAACTGACATTTCACTATCCATGTTCCTTATATTAAACTGTGAAACATCAAGCTTGAACAAACACTTTTTTCCTTTAAGTTTTTCTAGCTTATTTGGATAATAAACTCCTGGTTCCTATAGTTATGGGTTTTTCAATTAGAATCTATTGATAATGAATATTAATCCTGTAAGTAAAAATATAGACCGATACCTCTTCAAGGAGTTCAGATGCATTCTTGTTAATTAAATTGTAAACTTGTCTGTCCCATAAGGTTACTATACCATTGCCTGATCCATCAACAACAATTGCCTATATCTTGAACCTGTCCATGGATTAACCAAAATAATATTAGATAGTGATTAAGTGAAAAATAATTTCTGAAATATACAGGCACTGAATTGGTCATTTTTGTGTGATGATAATGATCTTACTTTTGAGTAACAGCAGAAACAGGACCATGTTTGCTGCATAGAAACTTCTTGATACCTTCACCATTGATTTCACTGGTGACCTTTTTCCCCTTGCCACGTTGATTACTTTTAGGCAATCCTACTAATCTGGTATCAGTGTCTTTACCTATTTCTGTGACCTTCTTGTTGCAGTCTCTACATCCTAAGTAGTACCAATCAAACTCCTTCACCAATCCAGTAATTTTAGCAAAAGTAACCACATAGCAAGGCTGTTTGAATTCAGATCAACTTAGTAGTTAGATTCTTACAACATAGACATAAGAAGATGCAAGAAAAGTTTTTGAATATGTCATTACCTCCTCTAACTCCTTTATCTCAGACAGAGTTAACATTGATACATCCTTCACAAAGTCTTCATAAGTATTGTATCCAGATATGTTAGAAAGTATAGAAATCCGTTGGACAGTTGCATCTTTATCCTCAATATCCTCCAATCTGTGAAATACGAATAATATCATGAATTTGGACAAATAGGTAGAATATGATTGGCCAAAAGATAGTATACAGACACATTTATGTAACAGAACCTCATTTTGTAGTCAGAAATTGCAGGCATAGACATGTCATTTAGGAAGATTCTGCCATTGTACATATTAGTGGTGACTGAAGCTCTTGCTGTTAAGATTTAAAAGACAAAGAAATATTGAAGTTGGCAACAATGTATTTAAATAAATGGAAAGTTTAATTTGGATGCTCATGAAAGGACTCACAGTTCCACTTTTTGCATTTCACATATTGCATAATAAACACCACCGACATTACTGGATGATCAGCCATCATTGCTGATATGGCATCAGCATTTCCATTCCACAGGGTGATCTTTAACCTGTCAGCCCTGTGTAAAATTTCATGATATAAGAAAACTTATTGTTACTGTTTGGATATCTATATTGATCATATTTTAAAAATAGATATAAGAATGTACCTTTCATCCTCCAGCTCCACAGATATCCTCTTCTTATCCCCATCAATGATCGCCTCACTAACACCAATAACATGTCCAATAACATCTAGATTAAACAAAATATTTAGTAAGATTGTTATGTTTAATTATATCAAAACATAAATTGTAATAATATAAGGATAAAAAATATATACCAAAACAGAAATCAAAATTCGCAATGAAATTTGAAATCTCAGCAAAAGGAGTGAATTCAAACACATGGTTAGGAATATCCAAATCAACAACATCATCCACAGTATCCACAATGGTGTTAGGTTCAAAGATGATTTTGTATTCGTGTTTTGAACAACGGTAACCACCAACAATGTTCAAAGCATGATCAAAACATGCTATTTGCCGAAGACAGACTTCTTCGAAGTAGTTGATAAAACTGTCCATAAAGCTTTTAGGGATGGTACCCTGAATTTTTCCACCCTATATTCGAAAAACAGATTAGTATATAGTGATATAGTTGGTTTCTATACACTTCATAGTAATTTATTATTTAAAAGATCGCAATGTGTTATAACTGAGCATCAATGAATATGAGTTCAAGTGACTTGATTTCTTTCTGATATGCCTTCATGTACATCTTCCAGATTGACATGACATGAACTACGATTCTGAAGTGTGGACTTTTGGTGCTTATCAAGCCGTTAATGTCTGCAATATACCTCTGAGCAGCAGCCATTGAAAGGTGATGAAGAGAAGAATAGGTGCCAAAGTCAGAAAGAGGTGATTCAGCGTTATTTGATGCTGGTTGACTGGTGGCTATAACTCGTGCCATATAAACATATTTATACAAGTATATTTCATAGCCTTGATAAGCATGGTTGGTTGATAACAGTTGATGGCTATTAAATATGGCATATTTTCCAAAATATGATGATCGGATATGCACAATTTTGGTTACATAAATTCCCGGTTTATCATGGTTGTATGATGATCAGGATACATGGATATATATGCCTAGTTTTGGGTTAAATTTGATTTATGATCTTGAGTATAAATATTGATTGATTTATGCTCTGAGTTTTACTGATTTGTAAACACAGTAAAAATGAATCTGGACACCAACATGGCTTGATTCGTTAAGGCTTGGAGATGGTAACTGTAAAAATTTGTGATCTTTTGTAGGGCTTTGAAACCGGCAGAGATAATTGGGAGGGCTTTGAATCAGGAGAGATAATTCGCATGATCTTCATTATAATTGTAGTTTCTTTTTTAAAATTTAAACTCCTATTTGTAATAACAGTTTAAAGGGAAGATTACATGGATTGTATATATCCCTTATATTGGGGAGGAGTTATTATAACGTGATTACGATGTGATCTTTTTAATTTTTTGGGGACTGTTTTTTTGGAAACAGTTTAAATGGGAGATGACCTGGACTGTATATATATCTCTTATATTGGGGAGGATTTTGGGGACTGTATTTTTGGAGACAATTTAAAGGAGAGATTTACATGGACTGTATTTTTTTTTAACTTCCAGGTTTATAGCACCTCTTGCCACGTGGCGTATTTTTTGCGAAAATCCTTGAGATTTTTGTTTTAGGCGGGAAAAAAAAATCTGTGAATATGACACGTGTCTTAAGTGTTTATTGCTTTCATGAAGTGTAAAGGGATAAAAACTAAATACAAGCACAAATTTGAAATAAACTAATAAATAATAGTCACTCAATGACAAATGCACATAGTAATTCATGATATGTGTAAATAGGTTGTTCTAGAATTTAATAATGTCTCAGCTTTCCTCTTAGAGGTTGTGTTCTTTTTGCAGTAATGGGAATAGAGGTAATAAGAATTTGATTCCATTTTCTACCATTATTAGGTTTCATAAAAAGTAATGGGTAAAGGATTAACTTTCTAGTGTAATCAGATATCCTACGATAAGTATTTTTAATCTCATCTAATTACTTTAGTTATCTATTCAATCTCAAATATGAAAAAATAAATCAAATGAGCGCTTTATTTTAAGCGCGTCCAAATTAATTTAAATAGGTTCAATCTCCAGGACTCCGTTTGCAACTATTGCCGACCATGTCAAGATTCAAGACATTTTTTTTTTATTTTACAAATGCTTATCTCAATAATAAATGCGGTCTAGAACTTTTCTTGAACAATATTTTACTTAATTTGTTGAGTATTATTTGGTATAATTTTTTTAGTATTTATATTATGTAGAGACATTGATATGGTAATGCAAATTATTTCATTAATGAGAGAATTTGGATAAAGGGTATTGGACTTTTAAATAATTTGTGTTAAGGACATAACAAACCTCAATCCCAAACATGACTTTAGTTATATTTTTTCGAACAAATTTATTTTTTAACCTCTAATAAATTAGAAAGTTTATTTTGTTCCACCTCTTTTTTGAGTATTATAGTATTACATATGTGACTATGAATATTACATCTATGTGGACACTCATTGGTCAAAATAAATATTTAATATTTTTTGTTTATTATATTTTTAGAAAATTTTGGTTACATAAAGTAAAATAGATTAGTGAAGTTTTACAAAATTTGTCGTAACAGTTCAATTAACCACGAGCTTTTGTAATTATTTTTTGACAATTTCATTTAAAGCTTAGTTCATAGTAAAATGAAAAAAAATTTCTATTTTAAATGTCAATATTATTTAAGAAAAATGAATCTTTGAAATTGTGAACAATTAACCACTGTTTTTTAAATAATGTAATTATTTTTCTTGTCCTGTAATATTTTTAATTTTGTGTATAATTATATTATCAAATTTAATCTTTGCACATAAATTTGAATTTGCTTATAAAAAATTTAAATAGGTAAAAATTGGTTAGGTGAAAAGTTAAAAGTCATGTTTGGAAGTGAATTTATAATGCCCTTAATAAAAATTATTTAAAGATATCGCCTTCTTTATTAATTACATATCTTCTACTGCTCCTCATCTAAATTTCCCCTTCATTAATTACAATTTTGCAAACCTTACTTTTTTTTTTCTTATAGTTTATTTAAAATTTTAATGCTTATTCCGATATCTATGTGAAAAAGAAATGTATCAGTCGTCATATAATGTCTATTCTAATACATATTTGGAACAAAGATTCCTTTAATGAATGCATATTTTTTCATCAGAAATGAGATTCCGTTTCCTTGATTCTCTTTCCAGACAAAAAACGCAGCCTTAGTAAAACTCTCATGAATATCATTAATTTATTTATACTACAAAATCGTTATTATCATTCTACTCATGCACTAGTTTTAAATTGGAAGAAAACAATTACAATTTAAAAAATGCATCATATAACTTTAAAATAAGTATCAATAGAATAAGCTATTCTTACACCTTCACAAACATCTTATATTTTTTTGGGAAAATTTTAGATAAGGGCATTGGAAGATTGTAAATTATTAAAAGGGGCATGAGTTCTATTTACATTTTTTAAAAAATTTATTAACACTTTTAAAATTTTTTAACTCATTAAAAGACTCACGTATCCTTCTGTTCACCCTACCTCTTTAATGTCAACAATATCTTACTGACTGAACTTTATCGCAGCCATCACCCAAACACAAATTTGTCCCATTTTGCCACAATTTTAAGTTATTATATTCTTTTCTGCTTCTTAATTTTCTTCTGACTGAATAAAAATTCTATGTTTATCTGACTGATATATAATTGATCTACTCTATCTTTCTAGCTTCCGATCTAATCCCTTTTACCTTATTGAAGCAGAATACAGGACGTTGATGTGACAACTTCTTATTAAAAAATTTTTGCTCCAAATTCACCACATTGCATTAACCATTCTGCCAGGTATCATCCCTTTTTAAAAGGAAAAAAAAAATTCTTATCCGGAGAAACAAAAGCTACTTTACAAAAATAGCTACACAATTTTAACTCTTAACATTTATCATTTATCAATCAAATCAAAATAACATTTAAATTTGTCCATAAACTTATCCACTTTATTACTCCACATTCTTTTATATGATTTCTGCATCGTTGTACTTTTCAATATTTTTTCTCCTTTGGCAGATGATTATTTTATTTTATTTTTATTTTTGGCTAAAAAAGAGAAAAAAATCAAATGTGTAGCTATTTTATTTTTTCTAAATCAAGAATTCATTTATCTATTAACACAAAATTAAAGTAGAGGTGCGCCCGGGCAGCATCTAGTTACTTTTAAGAGTATATCAACACCAAGAAGAAGCCGCGTCATTCCGAGATTTTTGAAATTTTTAAGGGACTCGAATTAATTGATAAAGATTTTTTTTTTTTAATTTTTTTTCGTACTCTTTTAACACTTGATTTGGACTCAGAGATAACATAGATCTTCCGAAATTTTTATTGATATTATGTTTGGTATTGGTATTTTTGACTCATCTTGAAATTCAAATCTTTTAATTATTTAGCCAACTTTTTTACTTCTACTTTGAATTGTTTTTAGTGTTCTTCTTGCCATGACGATAGATGTGGATCAATTGACTCGAAGTTAAAATCCTGATTGAGCCAAAAAAGGAGGTCAGTTTCAATCCGCTACCACCACCAGTAGCTGGTAAGTGTGGGCAATATGGCCTATAATAAATGGAATGCAATGGGATGCTGCATGCCCTCGGGAAAATGGCCAGAAACCGCTGAAGAATGAACGAGAAAAAATGGAATCAGGAACTCTTTTCATTGTTCGGTTCGAAGGGTAAACAAGTCATTTAAAAGGTAAAAATTTATAAAAAGGTAATTATATATGGATAATAATGGATAAAAAAAAAAAACTCATGCCGCTCTTAATAATTTTAATCTTTCTCACACCCTTAATGCAAATTTTCCCTAATGTTTTTTCAAAAACATCTTCACAAATCGAATTCATAGTTATCATGCCTTATTAAAAATTTAACACTAAATACCTGCAAAGTTGAAAATTAAGAACCAAAAAGAGTCACGGAGGATGAATAAACAACATAATACTTGATGATGATGTGTGGATCGGATCGGGTGTTCTAGGATTCTATAAGGTTTTGGCTTTCTTCCAATGTAAACCTCCCACCAAAATCATTTATTCCAACAACATACTGAATTTATAATTTATCATTCTAATCATGTACTAGGTTAAAATTGGGAGAAAACCGTTAAAATACAAGAATTACATCAAAATCGTTCAGTTCTAGAATATGATCACCATCATGATTAAGTATGCTCACGCACTAGTTTCAAATTTGGAGAAACAAATTGAAAGTTTAATAAACTCATCGTTTACCTTTAAATAATTGTGTCTTCTATTCCTTAAAATTTAAATATTATTTTTTTTGTCTTATATTCATCTCAAATTCATAATTAGTATTTTTTTATTCGAATTTAACATTAAATACATGTAAAACTTTGAAAATAACGGGTTGAGAAGAATTACTTGGAAGTTGG